GCTGGAACAATTTGGGCCATTTAGCAAAAATAAGACGCGAACTTTCCGTATAAGCGGCACATTTCGTCTAAAATAAGACGCGACTTAGCTAAGAAGCGTCTTATTTTAAAACAGCCCTTAACACCTGTTCTTAGATAAGACGCGTCTTAGCTAAGACGAGAAAAACTTTGTATAAATGACCTTCGCGTCTTACATAAGACGCGAACGCATGGTACGCATGCGTTTATTTTTGGCGGGAAAATTATCACTTGCCCCGCGTTGGACTGGCAGGCCACTATCGGGGAAAAAATGTTTACAAATTACAACGCGTTTCGTTTCGTTGCCTATTCTGCTTTATTTTTATCTTCGCTCAAATATAATGAGCACGCCGTTATTAAAGGTGAAAAAAAACCAGGCTTGGTCCATCGCGGAGGAAAAAGATTTTTTGTTATTATGTAAGGAGAAGGCGATAACAAACCTCCTGGAAAAATGCGTGACATCTGTTGGTGTAAGTAGACCCTTTTACCTTTAAACTATCTTCGTATTATGAAATTACACTTTAAAAGTAAGTTTAAGTATGCAGAAGACTTAGATAAGACATGCTTGTATAAATGGTCCAGTTCGCGTCTTATTTTTCCTCGCATAAATGGCCCTACTGTAACCTTTCGAAACAATGTTGCAAGGCTGTGTTGCGCTAAAAATCGTCGTTGCGAATCGTCTCGTGTAACATCACCTTTAGGGAACAAGTGGCTTTTAAGCCACACTTAACAAACTGAATACTGACAATATCATGCGCGCTTAAAAATAAATAAATTTACAGTTTGAGCTTTATGAAAGCTATGAAATATTATTGGAAACGAACAAAGGAGAAACTAGTTAACCGTTTAACGATAATGAAACTTAAAGGTTAAAGCTGTTAACCTTTCATATCCAGTTCATTTACCGCCCAAGAGCCGTTAACGGGATGTATTTTTCCTTGGCAGCGTGATTTTTCCATAAAAACAAGAGCAATCTAATTTCATTGCCATCTTTCCTCGCTTTAGGTTCTTTAAGCATCGATTGATTCTGTTATCGCTTGCTACATGGATCTTAAAGGAATTTGAGTATATTTATCTAGAGAGACCACTTGAATGTTTAGATTTGACGAAGCTGGCTGTCCAAAAAATTAACTTAAATTATTTTTCCATCATTTTACACGGCTTACTACCTTTTCAGCACCGCTACGTAGTTTAAACTTCAGGTGATTTGAGACTGAACCTCTTTACCCTTGACATTATTAGACCTTGTCACGGTTTTCGACGCCATCTTGACGAGTAGGCAAACGCGTGAGAAATGAAACTGTCTGTATGAGCATTTAATGTCGAATAATTTCCGTAAAATGACTGTTCTGAAAAAAAATATGAATTTAAAACTAAAGCTGTACTCCTAAGGATTCTACTGTAAAAAATTAAGGGCGTTACATGCGCCAGGAAACCTAGAACCCCTACTTTTTTACATTTTCTATGCAATTGTCTTTAAGAAAGTCCCGGGAAAAATTACAGACAAATATATGGAAAATTTAAAGCAAGCCGCTGGAGAAATTTAAGCACAGGTACGCCCCCCAAATTTTTTAGTACAGTCCTTTGCTTTGTAGTTTTAGTTTACAATTCATATTTTTTTCAGAACAGCCGTTTTACGGAAATTATTGGACATTAGATTCTCATACAAACACTGTAATTTCTCAGACGTTTGCCTACCCGTCAAGATGGCGTCGAAAACTGTGACAAGGTCTATTCAAGAAGGCGGATTCAAGATGGCGGCTGTCCAAATTGACCAATTTTGAATTTACAGACTATTGACTTGCTAATTTTTATTGTCGCAACCTAAATCCTGTTGAAGGTACAGAGGGTGGAAGAAATCACGGACAGATCCCAAGGGACTAAAAATGCCCGTAATGAAATGAGGTTAATAGATTGAATAAATCATTTCTCAGAAATGAAGAGACCGGAAGTCGCTCTCTATATTCTGGGAAACCATATTTTGCTGTTTTCTGATTGGCCAGTCTGTTCAGGCATGCCCACGCAACACTAAAGGTCTTTACTCTTAAATTTAGCTGACAAAAAAGTTCTGGCTAGACATTCCCAGAAGAAAACACGATATTTCATTGGCCCGAAGTCATAGTGTGTACGTCTCTTTGAGCTGATCTCCTTATAAAAGCAGGTACAGTAAATCTCATTAACGTACTACAAGAAATTATTTTTAAAACTCTTCATTGATTAGCCCTGAAGAAACCCCAGTATTATTACATAATGTCTCTGTATATAATATTTGCTTTTTGCAAGGTTTTTTCTCGATGGTCAAATATAACTTCATTCTGTGGCATTAGTTTATTCCGAACTTTGAAATTCACTTCCATTACCTACAACTCACTTGGGTTTGTGTGTAACCGTTGGTTATATCTCTTGGATGTTTCAGGGGTCTCTTCGCTGAAATATCTTGCTGGGAAGGGATTAATAGGTTCTTTTAAAGTATTTATATTTTACTAGACGAATAAAATGACACCAGGTGCTCATAGGAAAACGAAGTATCTTTTGGGAAAATTTACAACGACGAGGATCGTAAGTAACGATTCCCACCTCTTCAGTTAGTTATGCGATCTATTTCTGAAATGTTTACCTCAAAATCGAACTGTACTCGTCCAAGGGCCATCTATTACTAATACAATCTTGGACTAAACGTGTTAAGAATTTTGAACTTTCCTTAACATTGTTACCTAACATTTTAAGTTTTAACTATTCTGCAATGAGACATTCAAAAGACACGCAACGATGACATCCAAACTCGGATAATACGGAATTTCTTTGTGTTTCAACTTCTTGACGTTACTTGTTGGGATCTATGATGTGCACCTTTAAGGAATTAAACGAATGTAGAAATGAAATGAAAGTAACAATGAAATCTGCAAAATTAAAATAGAAAAGTTAAATGCTTTTTCCAGCATTGTCACGCTTATAGTTTATTGTCTTTTAGAAACAGTGGCCTACATTTGCTTAATATGTTGTTCTCTGACGTTTAAGACCAAGGGAGGAATTTGCTTTGCCCTAGAACGCAGGACACAAAATTCCTAATCGTTTGCAAATCATTCAGAGATTAATCATTCACAATCAAAACACAGATTAAGGTGGCTGAACACAGTTTTGGCAGTTTCTTAGTATATGTCATTTGCTAAATTATGGCAAGAGAAGGGTTGCAGCTCACAAGCTGAAACTTGGCAAGTGGAAAATATTTTGATGAAAAATTTTGATTGACAGGTAAAATTTGACATTTTCGTAGTTTTCATGGCAACATGAACGATTGAATGCAACCTTAAAATTTCACTTTTGCTCAATTTACAGAAAATTCACTCATTAGATTTTCCTATAAACTTGCACCTAGCTTACTATAATTAATCATTACCATTTGAAACTTATTTGACCAAATTTTAACAAAGGGGTTTTCAGATAATCAATAATATAATTGTACTGTAATTATTAAATGTGTCACAAAAATCGTCTGTTCAAATTCCATTTTAAAGTTCTCATTATTTAGAATACAATAAAAGTAAAAATTCTGCCAAATTTCACAAAATTTTAATGAGTAGATTTTGAGAAATCGTCTTCTGTGTACCATTGCTTTTTCGCCGCCATGTTTGTTTGTCGAAGTTAAAACACTCGCCGTCACGCGAGTCGCCGCTGACCGCCCGCAAAACTGTTTTCAGCCACCTTAAGGAAAACTAAAGCAAAATTGATGATATTTTGTCAACAAAGATGGGGTCTATTGAAGTCTAAATGCATATTTAGTAAAATATTACTGAAGGAAAAAAAATTGATTAATTATAATACAAAAAAATGTAAATGCTTCTTAGATCGCAATGTTTATGTCAGGTGTCTGAACCTGAATTCTTGTAAAATGTGACCAAAATGCCTTATTTATACAAACCACTGGTCCACCCAAACTTCTTGCTAGCTCTGAGCTAGAGATTGAAGCTTTTATTTCCTGGCGTCTCTATTAGGGGCTGACTCATTGATATCCGTTGAACTCATGTTGAATGTAACAAAAAAACAAAAAACAAAAAGAAAACAACAACAACAACAACAAAAAAAAAAACACTAAGTTTTATTTTATAATGACTTCTTTGAACAGGTCAGAAAAAATTATTATACAACCTGAAGGGGCCACAATACATCAAAGAGGAGAAGAAAAACAAAACTCTATACTATTTCAAGACTAAACATTTCTTGTACTGAGACCTATTAACTGAAATCTTAAAACTACCTCTCGTTTTGAAAGGGAAATGGATAGAAATTTTTACATTTTCATCATTATTTTTGAAATATGATAACTGGCAGAGCCTAAAGAGAATATGTGAATAGGAATTTTGCATTGATAATCGTGATTTTTACCCTGATTAAGTTACATTCAGTCAGGTTAACAAACTAGAGACTTTCATTTATATTTAAAAGACTTAAAATATATTGACAGCTAATACTGTAACATTTTTTGTAATTAAGTAAAAATAATCCACCAGTCCTGGAGGCTTGCCATGCCACTCTTGGAAACAAGAACCATTTCTTTTCAAAATGAGTTAGAACTTATTCTGCGCTGCAAGCCAGAGATGCATGCCAGTCGAAACTAGAAACTTCAGTATACTTAAAACTTAATCAAGGAGACTACAATTAACAATTTAGATGGAATGTTTTACCTACTGAAACGGTGGCCAACTTCACTTGATAAAGTGGCACTTAAACTTTGTTTTTCCTAGAAGGTTTTCCTAAGGTGAACTTCTAAAATTCCGAGAAATGTAGCGGAAGTGTAGAAATTCTTTCTGGAAGAACACTTAATCCTTAAATCAGTCTGATTTCTTCAAACTCGGTAATCAAATTCTACTTTCTTCGGCTTTCTTTCGAAGTTAATAAACGACTTACCAACAGGCTTCTGCAGTAAAAATAAGAAAACGCGTTTCATTCAAGTTTTATCAAGAAATGTTTTTTTTTTATTCCCAGAAAGGGAAACGTCGGAAGTATACATGGCGGATTCCACGAACTCACTCCATGCTGCTTTTTGATTGGTTAGTATACTGATGATATAAATGCATTCTTTTGCAGTACTTAGTTATCTAGCATTCTTCCATGTTGGTAAACATAAACTTTCATTGACATGGTGAAACGTTTGCTTTCTTTAGAGCGGCTTTGTCTGTAAAAATTAATAAATGATACCGGAGACTGGACCACAAAATGGAGACCGGGTAAAGAGCTTCAAGACTGCTAGTTACTGTTCGCAAGTCTAGCCGGGTAAGTCTAATCAATAATGCCGCAATAGACGTAATAAACTCGTAACGTATCTTTATTATGTGCAATAATATAATTATGTGCAATATAAACTTACAGCCTTTAATATTAAAGTTTCATGCAATGCTTTTCAATAAACGCTATGAATAACTTCTGAAACCTGTCCAGTCCTGCCCAGGAGAATTTATTTCCGCATCGAATGAACTTGCCACTTACTGCGCAGCCACGCCGATTAAATCATAATTTTCGTTTTTGATAAATTTTGGCCTTTTTGGTGAAATTGCGCCGGTGCCACACTTGTTTATACTTTTGACAGAAAAATTAATACTGTTTGTCATACTTTCTTTCCGTTAGAATAACGGAAACTTTTATCACTTGTTTTGGCGGGTGGATCATAGTACGTAGTGTACAGAATATATAATGGTGCAAACTAATGATGAAAAAAAAAATATATCTATAACACATATTATGTTGTTTATGTGAAGCAAAAATAGCATCAGAACTCAGTTACTTTCTATTCCTTCTGAAATACTAGTTTCTCACGGATTCCACCGTAACACCAGGGATCAGTTATTCATCATTTAAACTCCTTCAAGATTGAAATTAAACATTAATAGTTATTATTACTCATGAAAAATTGCAATAAACTGAACGTCGCAAAAGACTCCTTAGGCGAACAGACTACTTGCTTTATACTGTGATGAAGTTGCTAGCCCTAAAGGAAATTAAAATTGATTATAATTATTTGCCAATTTTGAGTTCTTGACTTGCATACAATGGAATATAAATATGTAGCTAATGTTATTGGTTTAAGTTATTAATTTCAGAAAGAAACAGTCTGTGGACGACTAAATTGTCAGCGACTCAGCACTAGCTTAACAATCAGATTCTCTCCTTCAGCCGATTTCAGCACCAAAAAATCAGTCAGAACCTTTCAGTATGCCGTGACAAGAGCGAATTCTTTAGTTTACCGTCCACGTTGTAGCAACTGTTTTTAAGGAGCAATGGCACATTTTTAAGGCAGTTCAAAGAATATCCTGCTTGACACATTACAAAAAGCATTTACATGAATTTCAACATAAGTGAATTATGATACATCTGTGTTTTTTTTTTCAGCCAGACGGTAGCGATGGCAACACCATTACCTCCTGAGGATTTTCGCCGATTGAGCGTTATTCCAACCCGCGAAGACATCTTTCCACAAGAGAGGCCCTTTCTAAGAGAGAACAAAGTCATAGGGCGCTACGATAATAAAGAACACTACCTAGACGTGCAGTTTCGACTCCTTCGAGAGGACTTCGTCAGGCCACTGCGAGATGGAATCCAGCAATTGGTAGTCATGGGTGATCCAAGGAACAACAGGAAACACCATTTGGATGATATCAGAGTCTACGACAATGTCAGGATACTCAGTCCAGTATTTACGTCGAACGGGATTGCGTACAAAGTGAGATTCGATGTTTCACGGTTCCGTGGAGTCCAGTGGGAGAACAGTAAAAGGCTCATTTTCGGATCACTTCTTTGTTTGTCGAAGGACAAATTTCAGAACTTTGTTTTCGCCACAGTTGCTAATAGAGAACTAAGGGATATTGTCAAGGTAAGGGAAAACATATGACTGGAGGATTAAATAATTTTTAAAAATGAAGCCGACAGGGAACCATTTTAGGTCTGTGCAAAATTGCGCTATAATACGATAGGTTAATGTAACAGTAAATCTAAAATATGCATTATATTTAGATTAATGCTTACTGAATTAAGGTTTGCGGCGTAATCTAACGTAATCGAGTCTTTGGAACTACAGTGTGACGCCGTACATTCTACAGGTTAGAAAAGGCCCCTTGCAGCTAGTCATTCTTTCAGTGGTACAAAACCGCAATACGCTGGCTGCAAGGGTACCACTGGGACAAGACAGTTAATATCCGCTGTGTGTTTTTTCGTCCCAGTGCATCTATTGCTCTATAGTAAGGCTGTTTTGCAGCACGAAAATGACGAAGCTGTAAAGGAGCAGGATCCTTCATGCATAGTATAGTTTATGGTGAGCAAAAACAGGCATTTGAATATGGAACTGTGTTTTTTCAAAAGAGAATAAGCTTAGAGGGAAAAGCCCAGTCCAGCCCTTGGGATTTGTGAATTTCAACAAAGTTATTTTTAGACCAATTGAACTATTAAAATTAATCGGAAGTTGGTTTCCGGAGAGAGCCGCAAAAATTTATTCAGTGTTGTCAAGAGTGAATCAACAGTCGCCATTACAATAATATTCTTTGTTGTTTGTTTTGAGGCAGTCGCACGTGGACTTGATGGCGTTTCAAACAATCGATAACAATGTGCGGATGTCTCAGGAATTAGACTTCCGTTTAATTTTAACCTATAATAATAATGATAAATCACTTATCCCGACCAACGCCCCAAGATTCTCTCTTAGTGCCATCTTTCTTCTTGGTATTTTTAAATTACCGTTCTTTATGCTTCATTAACAATCTGAGCAGGTATGAAAGCTACTAACGACAAACAAAGTAGGTGTAGGTGCGACTCGAAGTGGTGTCTAAAAATTCAGGTTACAAGGTAGGTTGCCTGGAAATGATTTTTTTCAGGGTGAGATAGAAGTGCGTTTTGTGTCTGCGGCGGGTGAAGAGGCGCTGAGGATAGGAGACGTGTGTCAGATGGCTGAATCAATAGCTTTCTTTGAGGCGTACCGCCCAGTGCTGGAAGGATTACAATCAATGGCGTACGGGAAGTTTCCACTACAGGTTAACTATCATCATTACTAAAATTCCAATAATAAACGGCTTTTTGGCGAGTTGAAATGGGATTCGGATCGACTTAGTGTAGTGTAATTATGTTAGTGTAGAAGCATATAGTTGTCGAACCGATTCTGCTTCATTGTGTTCCTCTTGGCATGGTCAAACACGATCTATCTTAACTACCGTAAATGATCTAATAAACGCCCACTCTCAAATATACGCCTCTTATCTAATAAACGACCCCCCGCTACGCTAATAAGTTTGCATTAAACGCCCCTCTCTAATAAACGCCCCCCCACCACTGAAAATTGCTCTTAAATACTAGGAACTGGCGAAATAGAGGAAAATCAATCAATTTGTTAATTTTATTGTTTGATCAACATCGGTTTGTGTATTATGTGACGTGCAATTTTTGCGCACTCGTTAAAACGCCCTATTGATTGTAGCCAAAAATTAAATTAAATTGATTCTGTTAACGCAAAAACGTTTCCGGCCGAAAGCATACTATATACACTTTATTGAATTCGTTAAAATAAGTTGCGACATCCTGGATACGAGAATAAATACCTCCCATCTATTAAACGCCCCCTCTTGGACCCCTAAAATTAAATAAACGCCCTGGGCGTTTATTAGACTGCATTTACGTACTTATGCACCTCGCTCATTTAGCTTTCGCGACTGAAATAGAATTGAAAGCATCACGTAGAGCTTGGCATCAAACCCTTTGGGTACGACGATGGTACGGGAAAATATGTGACTGTAAACATTTCCTTATTGGCTGCTCAAAACTCCTCACTGGCTGGTTCAGTTTGACTCCTCTATTAAAATGATGGTTGGGAGGCTGGATCCGATAAAAGAGATGCATTGTCAGGTTTCATGTTTCGGCATCTCATTAAGTAGCAGTAACCATTCAGCTTCTGGAATAGAGTTTAAGGACTGTGTACGTTGGGCTAAGTTGATACTTATGTATTGATCATTAAAAAGACCTTTTTGGACGTTTCTTCATAGAGATATATTGTTGAATGTGTGCAGGACATCTTGCCTCCTGCTTATTTGACGAATCCAGATGGTGAGCAAGTAAAGTTTGATTTCTCTCCTATCATGTCGCCGGAAAAAAGGCAAGAAAATACTTTTAACAGCAGCTGATTGTCACTCGAACCTTCATTCAAAGCACAAATGAAAGGTTTGAGCTATTGGTAGACGGGGAAAAATGACGGAAACTAAAAATAGATAACGTAGACAGTCTTCTATACTTAAAATAACTTTGCCGATTACGCGGTTTAAGCAAGGTTATTATTTCAGTATAAACAGACTATATTTTGCCACCAAAACAAACAGATAGGGGAATACTGGAATATCATGTAACAGTAATCAGATGACACATTCTCAAAGCGATTCGGTTAAGAGGATAAAAGTATGGACAAAAGCCCCAAGGGGTAAAAGAGGATTTCTCTTCGAGTTAGGAGAATTATTTTTAGCGACTCCTAGCCGGGGAACTCAATTTCTATTTGAGTTACCGGGAGTAAAGTATGCTGAATTACTTCCTGGCATGGGCAAGTTAAAAATTGTACTTAATCGTCCTTCATTAAATGATGTTCTTTAACTTATACTCTCTTGTGGAATGGAGAATAAGTCAAGTAGAGACATGTTAAGTAGAAGAGAAAACTGATGACTACGCAATGTTTCGAGTCAAAAACTTGTTTCTCACTGTTAACCCTATAAACCCTAACATCACAATGGAAATTCTTATTTGTTAACTCTGTACGTTTTCAATAGAAGTAGTGGAAAGAATTTGTTGAAGCATCAATTCGATTTAACTTGTGTGATCATGTCCTCAATTCTCATGACCACTCTGTTTTATAAAACATTGATATTACTAGGAGAAATTTGACGCTGATCATTCCAATAGGGCTTAAAGGGTTAACCGATGCTTCTAATTACAGGTATTCTACTTCTAGATCAATAAGAAGGCGTTGTGGTGTGGCCAGATCTTGTAAGTTGCTTTTAGTTAGTACTATGTAGAGACAGTTGTTTCCATTGAAAGGCCTTTCTAAATTTATAAACCTTCGAAAGTTAGAATAGGCCAATGAAGATATGAAAGCAACCAGAATGGTTCACAACATTATGGCGAGTGTCTTTAAAATGCGAAGAAGTTCCGTGCTATTCAATTAAGTGGATATTAAGTTGGCAGCTGGATCAGCTATCTGACCAGCCGGTCGTTGAATAGCTTAGTACTATTCCTAAACCCATTTATAGTTCATAAAGAAAATACAAAAGAAACTATTGTTTAATGAGTGTTTGGAAATCAGATGAAAAACTGGTCATTTTTGCATCTCTAATTTATCCTTCTAAAATCATTTTGTTTGAGAAGTAATATCAAGCATCCGACACGGTGTTTCATTACCAGATAAATCACCTCGAAGTTCGTCAAACATACTGCGCTGACGTTCGTATTTTCAACTCTCTTCTCGGTGTTTCATCTGGTGATGAAACACTGGGTCTCATACTTAATATATTACTTCTAACATTTCCTCTTTTCCTAGCATCGAGTATTACAGTTTTGAACCTAGCCTCTTGGCCATCTGCGAAGGACCTGGAACTAGATGATTCACAGTCCCAAGCCTTACAGTTAGCGCTGACCAAGGAGTTTGCAGTCGTTCAAGGACCACCCGGCACTGGAAAGACGTACATTGGACTGAAGGTGTTAACCTCGGAAATACACTTGTATTAATAACAGTTATATTTTTTTACTTCCGTTTCTACAAGTTGTTAGTCGCATATAACGTGGGCTTTTCTATGGACCAAAGGCAACTGTATAAACCCAAAGCTAACCAACTAACTGTAACTTGTAGGGTGCGAAAACGCACGAATTGTGTACTATACGGGATGAAAATGGATTCCATAGCAAGACACTTCCTGTATGCAGTGTAGGCACCATCTACATTGTAGGCGAAAATGCAACGTATTTTCTTGTTGTCGTATAGTTTGTCAAACTTAATTAAGGCTATTTCATGTCATCAGGCCAAATTATTTGCTTCCAAATCAGAGAAAATACCACAAATTGTCTTGTGTTTCTTACAGATAGCCAAGATTCTGCTGCACAACGCCAAGGCTTGGCAAAAAGTGTCTGGTAAAAGGCCCATCTTTGTGGTTTGTTATACCAACCACGCACTTGACCAGTTTTTGGAAGGAATCCACGCTTTTCACGAGGGCGTAATTGTTCGAGTCGGAGGGAGAAGCCAGAGTGAGACGATGAAAGAATGCAGTCTTTTTAAGTGGAAATGTAAACTCGGGGTAAGGTGTAGGTTAGGGTACTGACCTTAATATATGCGTTGATTATCGACGTTAATTGTTGTCTAGTTACCTGCTTATTTACTGACCATGTTTAGTGCTTTGGATTTAATTCCCTGCAATATCAGCAAAACACAGCGTTGTTTTGCAATAACACGCCAAATTTAATATCCATGCGGTAAAGACCTTAAGGCATACGACACTCACTTAAACTCCTTGATATTGAGTTGTACAACCTTACTAATGGTTGCTATCGTTGAAGCTGCCTTAAGCTTTGCTTCGAAGGGACGCCCTGTGAGGCGGGAGGCTTATAAATACGTTGCTTGAAAATATATATTGTATTTTGGCTAAGAATTGAGACCCAAGCCCTCTCTGGAATACAAAAAACAAAACAAAACAAAAAAACAAAACAAAAAAAAAAAACAAAACTAAAATACATACCCCGTTAAGGACCACACCTCAATTTTTTACTCTGTTAAGCTAAGAAAGGACAAAATGCACCCTGTCTTTTTTAAAGCTATTGAAGTTGAGCAAATTCATTGCTTTATACTTGAAATAGAAACAAATTTCATCTAGAAAATCAACTCAACAGTCAATGAAATCCCCTGTTTATGCTAGGACAAACTCGGACGAATAAATGCATACCCTGTTTAGATTAGTACAGACTCGCGCGAAATTAATTAACCTGTCGATAGAGACATCCCTATATGAGCCATGTAAGAAAACAACCTATTTTCTCCTTATGATTAATTATACTCCGTTTTGATCTTCTGTTTAGAAACGACTGCTACTAAAGGACTCAAAGAAGTACGAGGTCGAACAGGAAATGACACAGCTCTTTAACAAAATTTCTTCTAACAGCAGAATGCTTGAAAATTCAACAAGAACCCTGATTGGTGTGACCGAGCTTGCAACAAGCGCCATAAGCATGACGCCAGAGCATTATAACTCACTTCAACGTAATTTTTCAGCTGGCACGGGGAAGCGTAAACCTGCAATCATGTTGCAGTATTGGCTAGGACTTCCAGTGGAGCCAGCTAACCCTTACGAAGAGGGTAAAACCATTTGATCTATGATAGTATAAACGCGGCCTAAAATGTTCTGCAACTGGTATAGGATTTAATGGAGCCGAAACCAATTGTGGAATTGCACGCATTTTGGGCATCCTACTGATGAACAGCTGGGACACGTAGATATATTTTTTAGCAACTACTATAATTTGCAGTCTGTCGACTTTGATTTGCAATTACATTTTTCCATTAGCTGAATTTTCAAATTTGTCTTATCGAATCTTCAGACTAACATCGTAGCTACAATGATCACATTTATCTTTTAATTTCTTTATTCACAGTCAAGTCCTTTTCATTAATTTCATATTCAAAAAATGCAAGTTCATGGGAAAGGTTAGTCATCTAAGCTCTCCGGCTTGGCTTGATAGGACGGGCGTTGTAAAGTCTTACACAGACAACCTCAACCGCTTAGCCTATTCTTCCCACCCCTTGCCCATCCTTCTGTCCTTTGTTGTTTTCTCTGCCAAGAATACCCACTAACTGGTAGTCTAAGGGAGGTTCAGACTTTTTTACATCAAGTCACTCAATTGAAAAGTCACTCCACACAGAATCTTCCGTTAACCCACGCCATAACTGTTTTTTTAGTTTGATCTTATGCCGGGTTTAAATTTTATTAGCTTTTTTTTCTGGGTATTTTTGGTGTATAATAATAACGGAAGGTACGTTTTTTCTTGTGGTGGTGGTGGTGGTGGCGGTTGGGGGGGGGGGGGGTGTTTGGGGGGTTCTGAGGCCTCAGGGGGGGAGGGTAATCAGCGAAAGTGAGCACCAAAAGGGGAGGGCCATACCTCTTTGTGAGCTATTCAAGGGGAGAATCACACATCTTTTCCAGAATTTTATAATGAGGATTTCCAACCTCTTCCCCAGGGCACTTTTCCCTGGCTTTGGAGGTGGTGTCGCCCCACCTCCAAGAAAGCGCCCTGGGGATGAGGTTGGAGGATTTCAAACTTCAGTTATAAACGTAAATATCCCACACTGACTGTTTGCATTTTCTTGTTTCAGCGCGCACACACACATTCAATATTGAGATACATTCATATTCAAACATTTGGCGTTCCCAAGTGAAATGTTCTGAGGTTTCTATGGCATACCATTTAGTACAGAGGGGAGGGTCGCACTTTTGTCAGTCACCTAAAGGTGGCAGGGGCGGGGGCAGGAACTTTTTAACTTAAACTCAGAAAAAAAAGAAGAAAAAATTCAGCCCTCCCCCTCTCTAAGAAAAAACGCACCTTCCCTAAATTTTCAACATAGGAATTAGAATTACATACTCTCCCAAAGTGGCTTTGGTTTGTCATTTTCCAAAGACGATAGCTCTAGTATTATAGCATTAGATGAAGTGGTTGCTCTACTTATCACCTTACATTTTCATTCTCAGGGTTTTCCAAGCCACTTGCCATGTTTCCCTTTAATGCTGACTGTAGAGGACTGGAATATTTCTCCCAACGAGACTTAGCCTATATATCTCCATACGTCCGACCAGCATTAGGTGCTGATGGGATACCAGGAGGATCTTTGGAACTTATCGGAAGCCAAGACTCCTTCATAGAGATTGGAAATTTCGATGGTGGCTATGCAGACACTAGAACGTCCATCACTATACTAGCGTTTGTCTATCCTTTGGGAGATTGTGGACCAATCATCACCTATGGGACATGTGAATATGGCGTTCAAATTTGGCAAGAGCCCCTACAACCAGAGTATTCGCAATCGGGTACAGGAACGCTGGCGGCTTGTTTTGTTACAAGAGATTTGACAGTGGCAATTCCCATAAGAAAAGCCGTTTTGAACATTAATGCCTGGAATTATATTGGTGCATCTTACGATTACACCACTGGAATAGCGCGACTATGGCACAATGGCGAAGAAGTAGAAGCTTTACTGATAGGCTCAGGATTCGAGCTGGCTACACAGTTCCCGATCAGAATTGGCGCATTGAACAACCCTTGGCAGGAACACTTCTTTACAGGAAGGATCTCGCACTTACATATATATTCCGAGGCGCTGACCGTTGAAAACATTCAAGCTGTTGGATGCAATTCAGAGAAAGGTCGATTTTCTATTTGTCGTCATTGATGTTTTTAAAGAACTTCGACCACTTTGTCAATTAGCTTTTTTTTCTAAGATCGATAAATGTTTTGAATTTAACGAAAAGCGTACCTGCATGAACATGGGTTGCAGTTTCTTTTTACCCCTCCCGTTGGCAGTAATCAGTTATCCTGCGATCATGCCCTCCAAAAGTGAAGATAAATAAATAGGTAAATAGACGTTTGATCACAGGCTAATGATCGATCAGTGAGCTCTTTAAGGTTCTTTGTGAAAGGAAATGTCCTTCTATTACCAGATTCATTGTCCCAATATATTTTTCACCAGCCTCAACGCCTTCTTCCCAAAAACCATTCACCCTTTATTTTAACAAGAAACTTTGAGGATCTTCTTTTTTTCGTAGAGGAATGCAAGCTGGACGAGAAAATTGAAAACGTCGGAGCTGATAAGAAGCTTGGAAATGGCATAGCACAGTATATGGATGAAGATGAAGATAATGAGAATATCTATGGCAATGGTCTTGTCGGTGACACCGATGAAGGCGCAGTAACAGACGGGGAGTTGCAAGGTATTAGTAACGGAGTCGGACGAGTCCCAGATGTCAGGTTTGACGCTTTTGTCATACAAGATCAGAGGATCCTTGACGATGATCTAGACGTCATTCGATTTAACGACAAGCGCTCAGAGACGGAAACAAAAATGGATAGTCCTGATACGACATGTGCAGGATACAGTCGCGGTGGTGGCTGGCAGTTCCAGAATCCTAGCCGAATTAAACAGAGGATCAAGCGGCGAATTCAGAGAGAACTTAATAGTGAAGACGTTATGAGCGACGAAGAAGCTAATCAGGTATCGTTTTCGTCTCTTGTGGCCGCTTTGATAGTATGCAATTTGGTGACAAATGTGAAAAGTCCTTTTTGCACTTAAATATAAGATAAATTTAAAATATTACGAAACAAATGCTACGCCTTGTAGATAACCCTTTATAACGTAAATTGCTTTTCTCATAAAACTTGACGAATTACAGCCAAGAGCTAATTAATAGAGTAAATTGAAACATTTGCTGTGAATTCTTTTAAAATTTGCCAGTTTTGTTTTCCTTACAAATATGCCTAGTATTCAGCTGGTATTAAGTCACTTTTTGTTATCATCGATACGTCACTGAAATCCTTTACTTACTGAATTATTTAACAAATTAAGAATTTAAAAATTTAGGTTGAGGATACGTGGAAGTTGTCTGAAATAGATCGCTGGCGGCTGTATCGCAGATGGGTGAACGATGCTCGTGAGAAATGGCACTTAAACATTTTAAAATTACAAGAAATGTTTGACGTCAAAGCGGCCAAGCTCAAAAGAATAAAAGACATAGAGGATTTTAAGATCCTTAGTTTCGCCGATGTCATTGGAATGACCACGACAGGTAAACACTAAAACTAGACACGTTTTTATCTCTACTATCAATAGCTCAAGTGATTTGGCAACTGGCTCCAGAACTTGTGCACATTTTTTACATGGCAGGGCTTCATGTCTGAATATAATTAACTCTATATCTCAGCTCGGAGTTTCATCAAATCGACATACGACATGTTTATTTGGTACAACAACAACAACAACAACAACAACAACAACACTTTATTTCACCCCATAATATACAAGAAATAAAAATTTATAACAATAGTACAGAGGACGATAGGGGCGCTGGCTGCCCGAAATAACCTAAGAGTTAAAAATGCCAGGCAGCCAGTTAAAAGTAAAGATGTTTTTTACAAATCCAGTCCCTGTGTTCTTGTTTCTTTTGTCTCTTTGTGTGTGTTTATCAATTCATTTGATGGTCATATATTTCTCTGATTTTAAGTATGTAACGTTTTGTCATAATAAAGGTTTTTAAAGTTGCCCAGACAATGTACAGATGTCTAGTAATCTTTGATAAAGTGCTGGTCAGGGTCTGTACCATAATGATATAAAATGAAAAGTATATCCCAATGAACAAGAGGTTAATTTTTACCTCTCCTCCCTCCTCGGTCTCTTCCTTTCGACACCAGGCCGGGGGGGGGTATTTCTCTTCTTACAAGGTTTCCTCAGTTGTGGCGGCCACGGTATTACATTGCTTCCGAGAAAATACGCCCTTAATGCCGGCTATCACACATAGTGCTGTTGCACGCTAATGTAAAACACCACAGAAAAAACAAACCCTTCAGCCCTATTGAAGGTTGTTTACATGCCCCTAACCACTAAAACGTCCACATTTGCACTGTTAGTAATGGCAACGTCCACTTCTTCGTTTAGGTGCAGCTCGGTACCACCAGGTGTTGCAGAATATAAAACCAGCGATTACAATTGTGGAGGAAGCCGCTGAAGTGCTTGAAGCACATATAATTACATCTCTAACTCCTGGATGCCAGCACTTGATTTTAATTGGTGACCATCAACAACTTCGCCCCAGTCCCACGGTGTACGATCTTCAGATTGAGTACAACTTTGATGTGTCTCTGTTTGAGAGAATGATCAAGAATGATATACAGTTTTCAAGGCTTTGTTTACAGCACAGAATGCGGCCCGAAATCGCTACGATGCTGGATCACATTTACGTCAACCCAAAACTACAAAACCACGAGTCTGTACTGAAGTTTGAGTCCATCAAAGGAGTGCAGCGAAATTTGTTTTTTGTTGATCACAATACACCTGAGGTGATTTAAAAACTGTTTTTTCCTCATGAAAAAGGGAATTATCTGTTTACGGTAGAAAACACCGCCAAATGGCATTTGAATAGATGGCACTAAATGCTCAGTCAAACTTTTATAGTTACATCTCATTACTGTATAATAGATTATTCCTTACAAAAGGTCTTAAACTCAGTTAGAGGTTGCCTTTGATGAAAGGTTCTAGGCAGAAAAAAAAGCTTTATGCTGATGTATACACGACGCTTAACTTACATTTGCCTTTCATTTTGCGCCTCATAAAGAATAGGAAAAGGATGATCTCTTTTACTACCCTTTGCTATTCTTAGCTTCGAAAAATCTTGAACCTTCTTCAAAATGTTTGGGAATACCGGTCATTAATTTATTTTGAAAACGCTGAATTAGTGCTTAAAGATTAAGTTTCCAGTTCCATAATAATTTCGTGATGAATGTCATTGGAACGAGGAATCGTTCAATTCAGGCAAAGTAGGAAAACTGACCGGCATACCTCTCTACCATTTTTATTATTTTCAAGAAATTTGTCGTACTGGGTCAGCAAATAAACGCCGATTCAAGACTAAACAAAAAGACATGCTATATTATTACTGAACAGGACTTCTTGATTAGAACTCCTTTGACTTTAACCTTCATCTTTATGTCCGCAGGACTTTGTCCATGAGGGAAAAAGTAAGAAAAACGAACACGAAGCAAAATTTCTGGCTGCTTTGTGCCGCTACCTTATCCAACAAGGTTATCGGCGGGACCAGATTACTATTTTGGCCGCCTACAGTGGACAACTTTTCCAGCTGAAACAAGTGATGTCAAACATTGCAATTTCGAAGGATAAAAAATTCTTTGAGGGAGTCCGCGTCACAGTAGTAGACAACTTCCAAGGCGAAGAAAATGACATCATTCTTTTATCACTTGTTCGCAGTGACAGAATTGGCTTCCTTAAGAGCGCAAACAGGGTCTGTGTCGCGTTATCCCGTGCTCGTAAAGGCTTTTACATCATAGGAAACGCCACACTGTTGGCACGGAACAGCGATCTGTGGAAAAAAATCTTCGCAGATATGAAGAGACAAGGAAACATGGGTGGGGAGCTGAAGCTTTCCTGTCAGAACCATCCAGAAAATGTGATCTTGGCATCAACTGCTGAAGATTTTGAAAAAGCGCCCGAAGGAGGCTGTTTAAAACCATGCGAAATAAAGCTGACGTGTGGTCACATTTGTGAACATCCCTGTCATCCCTTAGATCTCGAACACATGGACCAATTCGCTTGCCAGCAACCTTGCTCTAAAACTTTATGCGATCTTGGGCACAGGTGTCACAAGATTTGCGGCCAACCGTGTGGTCCTTGCATGGAAAAAGTGAAAAAGATTATCCCCGAATGCGGACATGAGCAACAAGTCCCCTGTTCTCAAGATCCGTCTACATTCAAGTGTACAAAGATGGTGCCAAAGAGAGCCTCCGCCTGTGGCCACATCAATAAGGTGCCCTGTTCCAAATCACCTGATGACATCGAATGCAAAGAGCCCTGTGGTAAATTACAGTGTGGTCACCCATGTGTCGGTAAGAAACTGGATCTATGCTCAGTATGGTTTAAGACGTATTGAGGGCAATATGTTATCAGTATGCTAAACCTATAAAATCCAGCTTGGAGACCCGAATGGACGGGTAAACCTTCTAGCAGACTCTACTTTTTGTTTCTCGCCTTGTATTGTAAGGAAATGTATGAAAAGTTAGCTCTTCCAGGGTAGCTCAGGTACGGAGCCTAACATACCACTAGCGAGGGCATTCCAGACGTCGAGTTATCACCTAACTGAATCTCGTCAATATCCGTTGGCATAGGGAGACCGTACGATCGGACAACGGCCTCGTCCATTGAAACTCCACTGAAAAATAGACTTCGCATCCTTTCAAACTATTTCGTGATTATCCGAAGTCGCCCTGCTACTTAAAAGAAGGTTGGATCTGAGGAGAAGGGACCTCGTCCGAGTTCAGATAGAGATGGTAGAATTTACCGCCTTGCCGTTCCCGTTCTCAAGTAAACTTAAATTTTGAAGGGCACTTACCATTCAGCAAAAATTCTGGTTTGAAATTTCGCAAACTTGACGTGCTCAATGAAACGGTACATTCCGGTTCTACAGACCCGTCCCAGGCGACGGGCGCGTTTGGTTATTGCTCGCAGCAGACTCAAAATTACACTCTAAAAGGGAAAAGTAAATATTGTACATATCCTAAAGAACACTCGACTGTCGAAAAGGGCGGTGGAAAACTAAAGGCGGAGAAATCCTGTTTCGTGTAGAAAGCCACGTTTTCGCAAGCGAAGAGTATGAATACAAGTGAAGGTAAAAAATTCTGGTGAATTGAAGCGATACGTTTCTCAGAATATTCGAATCAATTCCTGGAACTCTACGGTAAAGAAATCGGTACTTTGGCCAAATTTGTATTCAGCCAGGTTTTGTTGTATTTTCATTTAAGCTTAACTTTAACTAATTAAAATAAATTGCTCTAGTTAGAGCTTTTCTGGAACGTATGACTTGGTTTGTTCTTCCTTGGTACTAAAACGTTTTCTACACAGCAGAAGCAAAGATTGAAAATGATTTGGTACGCTAGCTAATCGTAATGATCCAGTTTAATATTGAAACTCGATTGGAAATTCACTATTTCATTCACTCCACCGCTCGCGTGCTCTAAACCTTATCGTGGACAGGTTTCAGACGAATTATACGAATTTATTCTCACGGACTTTTATACAATTGTAGCTTGATACACACACTTTTTTCACCTACGTGTCGTGTTGTGTTGGTGCTGCGAGTATCAAATAGTTTGAATCAGCTGCAATTTCTTTCGAATTTTTAATAGTTGCCATTAACAGTGTCATATACGTTGTTACTTTCCATTGGAAACAACTAGTTGTTTTTGTAAGCAGGATTCAAAAGAGCGATACTGGGGACAACAATTTTGGTAAATGGAAAAGGTCATTTCGGTCCGACCGACCGACGGAAATGACCAGACCGGTCAAAATGGACCACCTTCAAAGCTGGTCCCGAATATCAGGTCCGACCAAACCGAAAGGGACTTTTCCATCTGATGTACCAACAGAAAGTTCCGGAATTTTGGATTGAATTGAAAGCGCCCTCACTTGGTCATTTCACGTCGTAGTCGTGTAGAGATGGCAAAGAAATTTACAAAAAGCGTGATGCACGTGCAGATGTGTTGTTTTGCTCATTAAACCTATTGCATTTTTGACGTTCCCGTTGCCGTCGCCGTCGCCGTTGTAGTTTCGTAAGGTTTTTGTATCGAAAATGCTCAAGAGTTCTTATTGTTTTTCAACAGGTAACTGCAGTAAGTGTCAACAGGGTCGCCTTCACTTACCATGTAAGTCCAGGTGCAGTCGTGTCCTGTTTTGCGGTCACACCTGTCAAGACATCTGTGTCCGTGCCTGTCCACCTTGTTCATTGCCATGCAGAAACTACTGTGAACACCAAAAGTGCAAGAGGGGCTGTGGCGATCCCTGTGAGCCGTGTAAAAATGAATATTCCTGGGAATGTTCACATCAAAAACTGTTGGTGCCTTGCGGAGAAATAAGCGATGATAGATCAAGTTGTGAGGAGCCATGCCAAAAGAAGACACCTTGCGGTCATTCGTGTATCGGTGTTTGTGGTGAAAAGTGTCCAAAGCTGTGCCGCGTTTGCAATGAAGAAGCTGATTGCTTTAAGGAGAATGATTCCCGAGCTATGTTCATCGAGCTAAATGACTGTGGTCATATATTTGAAGTGAGGAAATTAGACAAGTGGATTGAAGGACCAGAATTTGGACGAAGTGAAACTGAAGAAGTTGAAATCAAACACAAGCTATGTCCAAAACCTGAGTGTCAAACCCCAATTCTGTCAAGTCATAGATACAGATTGACTATTTCAAAGACCCTTGCTGATTTTGAAGCTATAAAGCGTCGAATACTTCTCCAAAATGTGGTCGACAGAGAACAAATTCATAAGATTTTGGTGGATGCCCAAGACATCAAAGAATTCAAGAAGAAGGCTTCAGAGATAACTCGGTCGATCAATACTGAAAGAAGTTTAACATCTGAAGAAGTTACGAAGGTTCAAAATCAAGTCACTCTGTTAAAGGCTCTGGATACTATTCACAGTCTTTCGACGAAGGATGGACACGACTTAAAGCTTTCTGAAAAACTCAGACCTTTGAAATCTCGATTGGTGGAAAGTGTTCACTTGAGCGAGCAGGAAATCAAAGAATTTTGTGAAGAACTTCTAAGAATAAGGCTCTTAGTTTCTTTTAAAGGGTTAAAGAATTTCTTGGAGAGCAAAGCCGTAAAGTTGAATTCTGAAGACAATAGTTGTGTGACTTGTACCCAAGCTGCATTGGAGTCGGGAAAAGCAATAGGTAAACGAAGATAGCAACATATAACCTGAGAAAACAGCCGTCATTTGGCGACGCTACCACTGGTTTCTCCGCCAAATGAAGTCTGATCGAGAAACGAGCGTAGAAATTCCATAGTGATGACGCGTCACCCACCGTGATCTGGGTAGTGCTTCTGATTGTTCGTGCCGCGTGGAAAATTTGATTCAACCAATCGGAAGCACTACCCAGATCTGGGTAGTGACGCGTCATCAGTATGGAATGTCTGCGCTCGTCTCTCAGACTTCATTTGGCGGGAAAACCAGTGGTAGCGTCGCCAAATGTCGACTGTGTTCTGAGGCTAAGCAACACGGTGATAGAGGTTTTTAATCGAGTGTAGAAATAAAGTTCCCAATTCTTTGATATTGCATTGCTTCCTTCTCGACCGAGAAATAAATTACAAAAAATCCTTACAGACACACGGACTACTTAGATTTACTTCAATGTGTTTTCGTTGGCATTTTGTGTAATTTAATCCGTATTCTTTTCTTTAGCCGTTGAGATTTTGGTTTGAAAACAATTTTGAAATCGGCTCTGTAGCACTACTTCCATGCAACACTCCACCGAATTGGAGGTACAGCAATCCCAGTAAAGAGTTCATGCATTTTCTATTCTTGACTTGATTGAATGCTATCCATTCAATTTTCTTGAACTGATTATCGTAGAGCCTATTCAATTTAATGTACCAATTTTAGAAAGTTATATTTCCCTTCATTCTAACTTACAAGTAATGATAACGGAAACAAGTTACTTTAGTCTCGGCTTAATATGACCACTTTTATAGATCGACAGAAAATAGAAGAGTTTATGGCTGATGTTAACAAACTTAAGCAGAAATACGGGCTCTCCAAGAGCTTGGAAGTCCCTGGCTTCGACGCAAAATTACAGAAAGTGATCATGAAGACCAGGAACCTCGTAAAAGGACCCTGGTACAAGTGTGGGAAAGGTATCTTATAAAAATCTTTAAAACAACTATACAGTGTTACTAAGAAGTGTTATTAAGTTCGCCGAGTGCTGTTCCCGGGACTAATTAAGTCAAAACAACATCAGATTCTTTTTACGTGTTATACGTGTAAGTAATTAATGGGACGGAGCCTTTTGTGATGGACTAGTTTTCCATTCTCCGCCCTGACAAGTCACCTTTTCCAATTATCCATGAATAAATTATTATCGAAAAACAAAAACCAGAAACACTGAAACAAGACAAGAAACATCAGAAACATCGCGCCTGCACCCCAAACCCAACTGAATGTTTTATTTAAGTATGCACTTCTTATATTTCACAACTCCCTTGTATAAACAACTTAAACTAATCCCATAACTCCCTCGTTAAACTACTTAAAAACTGACCTCCTCGATCTTTTAAACAGCCCATGTTTATTCTGCTGCTGAGCGCATTGAAGGGGAAGGCGTCATTAAGTGCCCAGATTGTTTTGCAGGCACAACAGACCATGTGACACAACAGGTACGTACTGTGTAAAAAAAATTGCACAAAGGTAAATAGTGGACCATCATACATAGAAAAAACTTTTTTGACTACTTTGTACTTTTTGACTACTCATGCATGTCTTTTTTAAGACATAAATGTACACTCCAGATTCCGCCAAGATTGCTTTAATAGTTCGAAAGATACCAGTAATAGTATAGGGAGCACAAATGTAACCTTTTTTCTGCGGGAATCTCATATACTTACACAGAAATACATTAAAGTCGAATCGTCATAGCCTCTTGTCTATATCTAAATAAAATGTGGGGAAGCTCATTAAGATAAGACCACGTGTTATCTTATGGTGGTTAAACTAGTTTAACAGGTTATTTTGTCATTTTAAGTCAATGAATGTCTTGCTCTTGGTTAGGAAAATAAAATTTGAGCTTAGGATAGATCTCGGCCGTAACATTCCAAATTTAAAAATACATATATATTTTCTCTGTTAACTATCTAATGAGTGGTTAATTCATTTTGTTTTCTTTCCACCTGTTCGTAGACTCAAGCGTCGTCTCAAGTTACACTGAGTGAGATGATGGCTATGGCTTCCATTTCTAAACCAACTAATTCACGGCAGGTCACAAGAAATAAAACAACACGGCCCCGCAGGAATTCTAAACCTCGTAAATAGTACTGTTATCCTAAAAGGAATGGATGGTCGTTGTCCCCTTCAGGGGGTGAATTGTGGAGTAGTATGGCTAATGG